CATATTTTGCTCTTCTCACGTTTTACCTCAAGGAGCACTGCAACCCGTGTACTTCTATATGTTTACCCTCGAATTTTATTTTACACTGACGTTATTTATTAGCGCATTCATCACAGTAGACACTCGGCAGATGACCCACACATATTTCGACTTCATTGTATTCATCCCAACCATCTTACGAGACTTGTCAAGCACTCGCTCTTTAACCCTTGATAATTGTTCATTGCGATATGACCTCATATTGTTGTTTCAGATCTTCGAGGACCCTAACCGCCCATGTCCACACTTATTGAAACTAAGCCACAACAGCTCACTAAGAAAGCAACAGAAAAGGCAATAAGCAGTACGCCGATACGTAGTATTGACGTTTCGCTGCCGCTCAACTACCACGTCGCACGTGGACTAAGGATAATGCAAGGGTCGTCCGGTCGCTTACGCCTGCTTGAACTCGGCTACAGGCCGGCTCACTGACAGGCCACCTTTTGGAATTGACTGCACAATATGGCCGGTTGGAATGCCGCCGGAACATTGTCTCCATTCATTTATTCCAGTCATGCCGGCCCGTAACCTTAAGGATCACAAGTCTGCCTCGTAATCCAGGGGTGCGGGTTCGAGTCTGCGTAGGGACCGGGCGACCTTCGCATCATCCTTAGCACACGTGCGACCAGTGGTCGTTGCGCGGCAGCGAAGCGTCTGTAATGCGTACCGACGTGCTGCTGATGCCTTTTATCCCAACCGTGGCACTTACTTCCGCATTCTGTCATCTCCGCTCCTAAGTTAACTGAACCCAAAATTCGACTTAATCATGCTGTACATGATTTAAACCGTTATTGGAACACAGAACAACGTAATCAAACTGTGTATACAAGTGAAAAGTGCCGTAATCCCACTGTTACGCGTAACATCGCTTTGATACATTCATTTTTGATCTCACGCTTTACCTAGAAAAATTTGTAAGCGTCGGCTATTTTATCCGTGATAAATCCATTGTTCGAAGCCAGTGTGTTCGCGGGAGGCGGATGAATAAAAATACACAGCGCTGAAGTGTGATACGATTAATTCCCTTAGTCACACACATTTGCTCAGCCAGCCACCTATACATTGGTACCTTGGTTCGTTGTAGGCATACCCAGATTCAGGGGAAAAACAGGCCCTCCACACCGCACCTGCTATTCACTAATGAAGAGCCCATGATCCACAGAATGATAATCGATACCCCTCTAAGACGCAATGATTATGCGACTTTGCATTTCATGTACACTTGCTATGTTGAATACGCAGAGGACAGAACTCAAACTACGCGGACCGTAAACAGCTACGAGGCCTTAACTCGACTCGTTGAAGCGACCGGCTGGATTTCTCTAACCGAGGACGCACCGCGTAACGCGGTGTTGTATGCCCACAAAACCAGTCGGAGTCCGAGTACCGCGGAGGCCTAGGTTCTCCACTATAAGCACTGTACCCGATTAGTGCGCGAGGACAAAGTAGCATATCAACAGGCTTTAGCAGAGCAATTTACTTCAAAACCCTAAGCTTCTGTACAAGCATGTGAACAGCTTTCGCAAAGTCATAAGTGGATCGCCCCCTCTTCAAACAGCGAATGGTGTAATTCAGACTGCCAAAGAACCGTCGAATGTTCTGCAACAACAATATGCACCAACATTTCATTGTATCCCGGGATCTCCTCAACTTTGCAAACTATGGTATTTCCATCAGGACTCACTAATATAAGTTTTACGGCAGACACAGTGATGGAAAAGCCGCTTTCCACGCTTCTGCACACCTGTCCAAAAATTGACGACATCCGTCCAAACACGCTTGTCGTGACGGCTAATGTTTTGGCTGAACCCTTAGCACGGTTGCTCCAGCACCGCTTTGACGAGAGGCGCGTTCTTTTAATGTGGAAACGGGATAATAATTCCAATTTACAAAATGGGTAGTCGTTCCGACCCAGCTAAGTAAGGACCAGTGACTCCTCTGCCATTGCATTCAAAAATTATGGAGGCTACCATTGCCGACGCACTCATGTCTTATCTGGACGGATTTGATCACACTGCTCAACAGCAACACGGCTTCCGCCAAAATCGGTTGTGCAACACCAACTTATTGTTAGCAAGACAGCTGGGCCGAAACCGTGAATGCTGGTGCAGTTGATGTGGTTTCCCTCGATTTCTCTAAGGCCTTCGACCGGTTGGACCACCGTATCCTGCTCGCCAAACTTCAAGAATGTGGCATTGGAGACTCTCTCCGCGGGAGAATCTGAAGTTTTCTCTCGCACATGCGTCTGGAAGTGAGAGTACATAAATCCATGTCAAGCACAATTCACATCGAATGTGGTGCGCCACAGGGTTCGGTACTAGGGCCCGGCTATTCTTGGTCTTCAATAAGGATCCAGTAAACAAAATCACGTCAAACCGTTTACTCTATGCCGCTGACGTCAAAGTTTGGCGAGCGATCGGAGCTCCAGAAGATTGCATCTGGCTTCAAAACAACCTTGACAAGATCTATGGATGGTCGGTCCAAAATCACCTTTTCTTTAATGCAGCAAAATGTCGAGTGCTCCATTCAGAACACCGATTGGTTCCCACTTATAAACTGGGGGACCAGGATCTGCAACACTGTCCTCACAAAAAGGGTCTTGGTGTGTTCGTCCGGGAAAAGCTCGGCTGCTCGGAGCAGTCCGCAAAAACATCGAAGAAGGGGATCTAAACCGTGGGGCTTCTACGGAGAACTTACAAACACTTCGAACCGTCCACTCTTCGCCAACTACTTACCGCTTACATACGCTCTGATATAGAGTATGCAATTCAAGCATGACATCCATGGCTGGAGCGGGATCTCACTGCCTTGGGGATTCTGCAACATCGGGCGATCAAAATTGTTAAGAGGCTGCGCCATTTATCATACAAACGACGTCTCAGTGTTAGGCCTTTTCAGTGGACGCTATCGGCGTTTGCGTGTTGACCTAATCATGGTGTAACAAATTCTAAACAATCCTAATCACCCGTGCCATCGTTGAAACCGAGTGACAAAAACAGACTGAGGTCATCATTTCAAATTGGCAGAACAATACAGCTGGTTGGATTGTCGCAGAAATTTCTTCTCGCTGCGTATTTGCCACACATTGAATTCCGTCACAGAAGCTGAAATTTCAGCCCCCACGTTAGCCGTGTTCAAAGCTCTTGACGAGGTGACACTAGCCGTACTACACCATACCACGTAACCCAAACGACCCACACAAACAGCAGAAAAATACCGGGTGGCATTTGGTGTACTGCTGTGTGGTTGGATTGCGACTCGCAATCTCTATTCAAACCTCGGTTCTATTTGAGTAGACCTCAGTCATTACGATCACAAGGACAGTAACAGAATTGGTGGTTAGGTGTTGCTTCTCCCAATCCTGACACCCCATAACCGTTTTCGTCCTCCTTTGGACTCATCAGATGGAGATAGCCTGAGCTGGGGTGGACCTCGAGGCTTAGTGTTCAAAGGTTGACGCCTTGACCACTATGGACCCTAGATCCAAGCGTTTCTCTCAGATCTAGGATCCATAATGGTCAAGGCGTCAACGTTTGAACACTTAGCCTCGAGGTCCACCCCAGCTCAGGCTATCTCCATCTGATGAGTCCAAAGGAGGACGAAACCGGTTATGGGGTGTCAGGGTTGGGAGGAGTAACATCTAACCACCAGCAGAAAAATAAACTAAAATCAACCCACCTCCACTTTTGTCCAGGAACCACAGACGGTAAACTTGGATAATACATAAAACCAAATGCTCGCAAGTTCGCAATTTGCGTTTGTTCACGATTTTCTATTGCTATTTTTACCTTCATTTTGCTCACCCCTAACCGATCACCCGGCAGGACATGTCGAGCCTCGACTTTTTTCTCCGCAATATACTACTGACTATTGACTATACCACTGTGGTGGTAACAGCTATGGGGACCCAACGTGCCCATAATGATCACAACTCGATTCAGGAAAGTGCGCATGTACTCGATTCAGTCAAGGGTACATGTTTTCAATCAACCTTCTCACTCGTTAGACATTCACATGTCGATTAGCCTTTGTACTGCAGAAAACATTCCTGTTTCCGGCCAATCCCCACAATCATGAAACATTCAAACTTTTTTCACTTAAGAAACATTCATTGTCCAAGTCCAGCCTCCACATCTACCAACATTTACGATTCGACATGACGCCAATTCAGTTGCTTATGCCTTGCTCCCAGGCCTGCTTACACAAACAATTTTATGCGACAATTCACATATGTTACAATCTAGGTACAAAAGAAAGGCTGGACTGCGCTGTAATCACCTTGATCCTAGCCAGTAAAAGTGTCAATCCGAAGGACCTGTCTTTGTCTTGTTCTCTCGGGTGGGGAGCTGCGTATGAAATTGCGTTCGGTCTAGGAGCCCATCCAACTCGCGTGCAGAACTCGTGTTGCAGCTTAGTCCAAGAGTCGTACAACTTCGAATTTTGTCGATTACCGTGTCGTGCGTGAAATAACACCAAGTGACATTCGTTTGTTGGTTCGTTCGTTCGACTAGGAGACTTGATACCAGATTGTCAGAGCGTGGCGTAACCAAGAGGAGTACATAACAGTAACATAACACACAAAGTTGAACAGTAGTGTACTAACCAGCGTACAATTACTATCATGACCCAAACAATGTAGCCCATCCACGAAAACCTTCACTATCATCAGAATCACACAACTAACATAGGACAGTGGAAAGAGACCGAGGCTGCTGGAGTTTAGCGATAAACACACTGGCTGGATAGGTATCAAAATGCTCATTTGAGCTTTTACTGCATCCAGCTGCATCCCTCAGTCGACAACAACACATGCAAATACGCATTTCTTTGGTAACTATTCATTGTTGTTGGTGGTGGGACATAGTGCTTTATGACATACTCTAAATCGTGGGCTTAGTTTGGACAATGCTCATAATCATGAAAGAGAAACAAGTCCACGGTGTAATAGTAGACTGGCTTACAGGCAATTCTGGTGCTGGAGGAATGGGCTTGTTTGGAGTCCACACATCCGCTGTTTTTGCGTCGACTTTGCGTAACATGTGCTGCAGATCCAAACGTGAGTAAGCCCAATCGCGTCGAAATCCACAAAGCTGACCAATGAGGATGGCGGTGCCGAGTAAGACGAGAAACCAAGCCACCATCAGAGGAAGCCACCAAATGTTGTTCCACGTTCCAGGAGGGTAAAAGTTTATGTGGCTCAGGTTAACAAATACATCATCTAACAAGTGAAAACAAATCAGAATATGCCGGTTTTATTATGGAAATATTTCGTCGTTCACTTAACAAGTAGTCGAGTCTGGAACGGGATAGAAAGTTTACATTCTGTTTCGCTTCATCTCAGTTCCCAAACAACTGGTACACGCTGGCTTGTGTGCAAAAATAAGATGTGTGCGGAAGTTTAAACCTGTCTGCATTCCGGAGATTCCCCAACAGAGACTAGTGCTATCAATTCATAGAGAAGCTATAAATAGACCACTGAATTCAAGTTGAGAGGAAAATGCTTCAGATAAGACTGGAGGCTTCAGCTGATTAATCGCGATCACGCACCCTAGAAAGTATCATAGCTCAGAAATAGCGTCCCATACAAATAGGAATTACCTGACATATACCAAAAGCAAGAAGTCGTGTCGTTTGGAAAGCTTAACAAATGTAAGATATTTGAACAGCTGGTGCAGGAGTCGGGGCCAAAAGGCAAATGTACTTCATTTATGGTTTCAGGTTCTTGAATGCAAATCGTATTTTGTGAACTACTTATTGTGACAACTTTTCGCTCTTGACGTAAATGTTAGGCTTGAAGAATCACTTGAGTCAAGAGCGAAAAGTTGCTACAACAAAATACCTACAAAAAATAATTCTTATTCAAAAAGTTTCTGAAATCATGAAATCCCAGTCGGTTCCAAGCCTATTCCGAGATATTGAATATTCCAGTTCTGTTATTCGTATATAAGCAAAACCCAATTGCTAATCAAGGGAATGCTTGGGTTGCACTGCGTACATAATAGTCACATATATGAAATATGAACATAACGCTGGAAACTCACCAGGAATATCAAACGTTTGCCATTCAGATAGGTTTCGTTTTGGTTTCACCACAGAGCCTAGAGGCACAACAGCGGACGTCTACTAAGAGGCATAATGCACGAAAAGGAAGTTAACGAAAGACAAAGCGCCTGAGTAGCTTAACTCTCCTTTCCAACTGATCAAAAGACATCATGCATTAACCAGGACTTTGATTTGCTTCAGTGATTAGACAAAGTGAAATTGTTTGATGTAAAGCGTGCAACCAATTCGTCAATGAATTTCTCCTCCATCTTTCAGTGGTAACATGGTCGGACCGTAGCTGGCTATCCGAACAACCTCCAAGTGGTGCCAGCTGGGTGGTTCGGGTTAATCCCGTTCAAGCGAACAGGTCGGTGGCAGTGTCCCAGGACGTAGTGGGTTTAGGAGGATAAGCGTTCTTCCAATACAAGGCCACAAATGTCCGCATAACAACAGTGACGTGGAGGATGTGACTCGCCACTAAATAAAGTCACTGCTTCTTCACTTCCGGAGGCTTTTCCCCACCTCAAAAAAGTCACCTAGTTCGAAGACTTCCTTCGATCCCCCCATACGATAGCGAGCAAAGCAGAAAGGCTCACGAATTCAGTCACACTTTACAAGTTCACTCGCCATGTCCACTAACATATGGTTGGCGACATCCGGCTCCGGAGTTGCCTGTCACTGTGGTCAGCCAAAGGACACCTGGGCCTACGGAAGGACTATGGGTGGCTTGACTCACCAACCACAGCTCCATACACACATCGCACATCCAGTGTAAACCCGAAGGAATACGACCGGAAGGCATGCGGATGGGAGCTAGGTTACAGCAACGGAGCCGGTCCACACACCTTCACAGGCAAACACGTGCACGCTGTATTTGGGAATCAATCGCACACACGGCGGTGGCTGGACCGTAGTCCGCTCCACACTGAGTGCATGGAACCACTCTTTGATCCTAACACGGCCACAAGGACCGTGCACCCCGTCCCCTCCAGCAACGACCAACTGTCTCCTAGAGCCAGTATGATCGAGGTAGTAGGTAACAGACAGGTAGACACCTTGTCGACATGCGCGTCGATTGCAGCCACGCCGGGGATATCAAGCAATAGCCAACCACTTGAAACCACGATATCAAATAAAATAAAGCTGATAATGCATACAGATACGGTGACATGACACTTCACTAAATGGGCGTCGAAAATAAATTGATTGCAAAATATCCGCGAAAGGTTCACTACGTGGGAAAATATATTGTAAGAAATTGCCACAAACGCGAAAATGTTATCGAAGTAGTTTAAGGGATGTGTGCAAGTTTATAGAAGATAGTTCCAGTAGACATCAATATGAGATAAAAAGCATTAGGACAATATAGCAAACCCACCACCTGAAATAAAGTGATTCAGCATGCAAGCACGCGGTTAATAAATCGAATGCAGCGTACCTACAAACGCTTCGCCGGTTTTGCTTACGTTCTCTGCAGGACACATCGTCGTTTCGATATCGGTTCCGAGTGGCCTCGCTCATGCCTCACTAGGCCTGCCTGAAGCAGCCAGTCTCGACCACATGTGCTACACCTCCATGCGCTCGATGTCGATGGAGTATAACCCATCGGCGCCTGTCGCTTCCGCAATTGCCGTTTCTTCTCTGCATGCACGAGAGCTTTCTCTTGCACCTCGGTAATGGCGTTCGTGATCAGATCGCGCCATGTACGCCGATCAACCGCTTTCGATTCCCATGACCTGCAATCGAGCGTAGAACGTGAGTGGCTCAATTTGATCATGTCCTGATAACGACGCTTCGGTTTCCCCACATGCCGCTTCCCAAACGCAGTTAACCATATAATAGCTGCTTCGGTATCGTCGTCCAATCAATAAGCCACACATGACCGAGCCACCTTAGGTACTTCAGCAAAAGAAGGCAGTCCATTGCATACATCCCACTTTGTCTCAACACTTCCGTGTCAGCAACTCGGTCGCACCGACTGATGCACAGAATTCGTCGTAGTCACTGTTGCTGGAACCGCTCGAGATATCTCACATCCCGCCGATACATCGTTCACATTTCGCCGCCGTATAGAAGAACAGACAGCACCATGGGTTTGTAGACCATCAGCTTCGTGGCAACGGTAAGCTGATGGTTGTTCCACACTCAGTACTCTAGTTTCCTGAATGTCTCCGCTGCCTTCGAGACGCGAATACGAAGCTCATTTTGAAGTTGCTGGTCAGTCGACATCACACTCCCAAGGTAGCAGAAGCGGGAGGTGGTTTTCAATACATCATCAACAATGCTGATTCGCGGCAATATGGAAGACTGCACCTCCGGTGAAGGCTGCAAGTGACAAACAGTTTTGCCTGTGTTGATGGTGAGTACGAATTTGGCCGCTGTCGAAACCAGAGCACTAGGCATGTGCTGCAACTCATTCGCGCTGTGTGAAAACAACAGACAGTCGTCAGCAAACAGCAACATACGGATAGTTGTCTCACAGACTAAAGTTCTCGCACCGAAACGACGGATGTTCAGCAACCCACCATCAATACGGCATCGGGTCTAGCACATGGTCAGTTCACCGATTCATGTGGATTGGTGCCCTGGATCTTAGCAGGGAAAAGGGCGTATCCCAACTCCCACCCAGCGGTCGCCAGGAGGAGACGTCCAGGACACGAGCCAATGGCACAACATTATAAGCAGTGGGTAGACCGTCAGGATCTAATCACCACCAGTCTCAGCGCACCATAGGCTCTCCATTGGTTGCGGGTTCGAAGCCTGCTATCTCCAGTTGATGAGATGAAATGTCCACTAGCATGTACGTGGCTACTATATGTTAGTGGACATTTCATCTCATCAGTATGTTACCAGTTAACGTGCTATAGTTTATACAATTATCAACCATATATGTTTGTATTATCATGATCACCCCTTTGCAGACGTGTCTCGCACTGTCCGGAACAAAACATTGTTTTATTTAGTTATTTAATTATAGAAAATGACAATGTACAATGATCTGTAACGTGCAAAAAGCAATGCTTGAAAAGTCACTTAGGATGGCCGGAGTGGAAACAAGAAAATGGCTGTTTAAAGTAAGAGAAAAGGGGGAAATTTCTGGTTTGAGGTGACTCACCGATTTATTCACTTGTACACATGCTGGTCTGCTCACGGCTACAGTGAGGGCTGGTGAGCATACTGTTTGCGTTAACTCGTGTTTGAATGGAAACAGACTATGTCACGTAATACAAATAGGATAAAGTATAGCTCAATTGCGTCGTAAAAAGTGCGAATGTGGGGGCGAGGATAACGTGGGAAGGTAGTTCCACGTTTTGGATACCCGAAGGGGGAAAAAGTGTTGTCGGCAATCAAGTCGACTGTGATGTATGGTCCGTTGGAGCTGGTGGCCTCTCAGGTTGGAATTGTGGCTGACTTGCAACAGATCGAGACAGGTGTGATCGGTATTGGCTTAAGAATTGAAGACTAGGTGAAATGACTACACTAGCAGTGAAGGATGGATCAAAAACCTTTCACGCCGCCACCTCACTGCAACTGAAGAGGATGTCTTGATTAAGGGGCTGAAATTCAACGCCAAAGATGCTTGCCCCAAAGACTACTTCGCTAGCTTAAAACACGCCTTGAAATCAAATGGACTGTCGGAGGAGTCCCAACAACAGATACGGCAGACCGTTGTCTCAGTGCTTACTCGGAAGAAAGTCACCCAGACCCTAGCCAAGTAGGAACCGGATGCACACAGACGTCTGCAGAAAGACGAAAACATTGTAATCCTACCAGCGGACAAAGGGCGCATGAAAGTGCAAATGGACAAACCGGAGTATATTAACAAAGCCAAAGAACTGCTATCCGACACAACTACATATCGCCAGATCGATAAAGATCCAACTTCAAAACTGGTCAATCAGATCAACGCAAGGCTGAAGAAACTACAAACAAAGAAGGAGCTCACCGCCACGGAGAGATGGAGAATGAAAGCTGATGACACAAACATTGTACTGTTCTATGCACTACCAAAAGTACACAAGGATGGAGTTCCACTACGACCAATCGTCTCGCTCCCCAGAGCCCCATCATACAAACTAGCGAAGAATTTGTGGAGGAGGTTGAAACATTTGGTTGCTGGATCCGAACATAGCATCAACAAGGCTGAACAATTCCTCAACAAACTGCGGAGTGTCAGAATAGAAGGCGACTAAATAATGCTTTCATTCGATGGCACTGCATTCTTCACTTCAATCGGTCACGAATTGGCCAAAGTAACTAAGATGGAACTACTTGAGAATCAACTAAGCCCAACGACAACCATACGACCTGAAAGATTTTGGGAACTCCGGAACCTCTGCATGACCACTTATTTCCGCTTTGAGGGACAAGTGTACCAGCAACTGAGAGGAACACACTTGGATCACCAATTTCGGGGCTCGTCGCAAAAGCCGTAATGCAGAAATTGGAGCACATTGCATTGCCATCTATCAGACCAAAACACTGGATACAATATGTAGACGACACGTTTGTCATCGTAAAACGGAACAGAGTAAAGACCACGCACGATTTGCTCAACAGCACATTCGAGGATATCATTTTTACGATTGAATTAGAGGAGGATAACAAATTACCATTTTTGGATGTACTGGTCACTAGGAATACCGACGAATCTATGCAAACATGCGTATATCGGAAGTAAACGCATATGGATCAGATATTAAATTACCACAGCAACCACCCGATAAATCACAAGAAGAGCTGCATTCAAACCCCGTTCAAAAGAGCAGAAACGCACTGCAGCACAGCCGAATCGCGGAAACAGGAAGAAAATCACCTATAACGAGTGTTTAGAAACAACGCTTATCCGAGAAACTTCATCAGAAGAAGCTTAAAGAAACGAATGCCTCAGCAACAGCAGCAATCATCTGATCAACAAAACTAACGGATAGTGCTGCCCTACATCAAGAACGTCTCCGAACCAGTGTGAAGATTGCTGCAGTCACATAGCATTTCTGTGGCTTATAAATCAAGCGCCACTCTAAGGAAATTGATTTCAAGACCCAAAGAAAAAGTC